TTCCCCCCCGACGGGCGCAGCCGCGGGCGTTCCCCGCTGTAGCCTCGCTCCAGCAGCGCAGAGCAAGGGCACCCCGGCTCCCTCTCCGGGGGACGCGAGGCCGGGACACTTGGAGGCGGGTAGCCTCGTTCGCCTTCCCTGGGGCTGGCAGAGAGAGGGTTCCCCCTGCTATTCTTCTCCTCCCTTCCTCCCCCCGGGCCTGTCCTTAGAAACGCTGTTTGTTTTGGTCGGCGAGTGCCAAACTCCTGCCTCTGGTAACTGTTAAAAACATGGGGCCGGGGGAGGAGACAGGCAGCGAAACAGATGGAGGAAGAGGAGGAGCCGCCGGCGGCGGTGCCGCTCCCCCGCGCGGCGCTGAGGGGAGCCGGCGGGGGAGGGGGTCGGGAAGGGCGTCCCGGCCTCCCCTCAGAGGGCTTGCGGCCCCTCGTCACGGGCCGGGGGGAGCGCGTTGCCGAAGCGTCTGAGGTGAGGGCAACTCCCGTGGCTGTCCCGCGCACAGACCGTGGGGGACACGTGCTCATCTCGCTCTTACATATTTTTAAGCCTTCATCAAGAGAAGCCTATGTGTAAAGGGAAGAGCTGCGGAGCTAGAAAGCTAAAAAGAGAGGAGTGTCGGCTATAAGCTGTGAGGAAATTCCGTAACTCTTAACAAAGGCTCTTTTCTGCTCCTGTGCCGTGGGTGCTGATAAAGGTGGAGTCAGTGAAAGGGAAACTCGAGCCCAAATGAGACTCAGTCGGTGCCAGCTTGAAGATAGTAAGGATGTAAGCCCAGTGGAATAAACGAAGTTCAGATATTATAGTGGTAAAACTGGACAGAGCACTTAGTGTGTGCATGGATGGAGGGACTTACTTGAACAAAGCAGGGCTGTGGAAAAACTTTTCTTGAAGATGGTATCTGAAGGGAAAAAAAACCCTTCTGAGCTGTCTTTTTTCCCCAGGTGCTTTGTAAAATAACTTTTAAAGGAAGCCTTCGGGAATAAAAAGCGTGTTTGTGTTTTCTAAAACTAATCCGATCTTGCAGTCTTGATCAGTTCTAAGTGAGTGATCGGGTCGGGTGATGTGGTGACTGTATAAGTGCAAGATGCCTTTAGGCATCTACAGTGTTATATTCATTGCATCTTTACTAGAAAGAATAATCCAAAACTGTCTAAATAGCAGCAGAAACCATGATAATTTAGTTCTTCCTTGTTAAATTAACTGGAAACTTGGGTTTTGTAAATCCAGAAGATATTTTTAGCTTGGTCTCCCATTTAGAGTTTATCCTTAAAAAAACCCTGCAAAATAGTACTGATTGAAAGAAAGCGAACAGTGTAATGAGGCCCACTGTGAAGGTGTCCAACCTAATATAAAAGTAAACATCGGGGGTTTTTTAAATGCAGGAAGAGTAAAGCAGGTTGTAACCACAGGCTGACCCTTTAATAAAATAGGTAGGATATTAAGCTGTGTATTAAAACAACAGCCTAATATGTAGTACCTAATGAACAACTCAAATAAGAAGATGGTATTGTCTATTCAAGAGGGTGAGTTACAAAGATTTTGGAAGGCTAAAGGGCTTTCTGAATATTTTTATTTGGGAATTATATTAATCTAAACTTAAAATTGCATGTGAACTTGGCCCTTAGTAATTTATGAGAAGGTCTATGCTGTCTACAAAAGGATAAGGAAAAGCAGCTCTTCCAGTGTATGCTATAAGGAAAGGACTAAGTAACTCAGTTGTGTATTGTTGTAACTAATTAGAAAAGCCTTTTTTGGTTTGTACTTCCCTTTGATATGCTCAATGAATCTACTTTTCTCTAAGCTTTTTAGCTGTCGGGCAGCATATTTAAAAACTGTAGATGGCATATCCAGATTCTGCTTGTGTATTCATATATGTTTACTTTGATGTGCTTGCTGCTTTGTTTATCTTTTAAACTTAGAATTTAGCAATAATGTTCTGAATCTGCAGAATACACCCATTCTTCTTTACCATTCCATTTGAGGCATCCTACTAGGAAATATATTTACTGTGGCAGATTGCAGTGTTTTTGCAGTGTGTCATCTCCTGTTGCATTGTTGAAACTTATTTAAATTAAGCCTTCTGAAGCACTCTACTGGCAACTGTGTGCATGTATTGTAGGAACAGGTATGGTCTCGGTACATCAAAATATGTCATGGGTCTCTTTGAAATGTAAGTATTTGTTGTCAAAAGATTCTTTGCTAGGAGTAGTATGTAAAGACTTAATGTATATAGAATTTTAATTTCTACCTTAAAAATTTGGTCTTCTTGGGAATCAAGACTGGGGTGGAAAATGACAATGCTGGCTTGCCTCCGTGGCTGGTTTAGTACTTGCTGTTAGGAGCACCTTGCAAATCTGAATATTTATGAATTTGAATATTTATTGGAATTATCATACTGGCAGTTAAGAGGAAGTACTTGAAATGATGATGTATAAATTGTGTGAGAATTTTCGGGTTTTAATGGTCATTTAATTTCTTCCATGTCCTTAACACCTAGACTGAAGCAGTAGACACATCTTGAAGTGCTCATGCTAGGCAAGTGATTTTACAAGACCTTTTGGGCCAGTACACTGCTAACAACGTTAATTAATTATTTCGATGGACCACGTGCAACATTAACCTTTTGGAGGTTAGTTATTTATATATAAATAAAGGGGGTTTATACATGATTAAAGCCTGGAAATAGTGTTCCATTGTTTCTGGATCAGCATCAGTGGGAGAGTAATGCGAGCTTTGCAGGGTCTGCAGGGTTACTGTATTTAAGTGAGCAGTTCCACATCGAGAACCTGGAGTGCGTTCTACAGGTAGGTTACTCATCACAACTAGTTTCTAGTCAGCGCTAGCTTTGAGATCTGTAACACAGATCTTAATCGAAGAAATAGTTTTAGTCTCTTGCATAACATTAACTAGTGACTCATTTCTAATTGTAACTTAGACAAATAAGTCAAAAATATCTCAGCCTTTTGGTTTTCTAGGTTCTCTTGCAACTCTGTCTTGTTTAGTCAATACTATTTTAAATATCTGCTTGTTTTCAGTTGCTTGTTAGAATTTGTAAAATTGCTGTTCTAATAAGAGTTACGATGTTACAGATCACAACTGATGCTGTAAGTCTTGAACCCATGACCTCTATATCCTGATCAAAAGTGTCTCTTACTGGCTTCTCCAGTAAGGTAATAAACTGTCAGCTGTGTTCTTGCTGATGTGATTAATTCTTTTCACAAAAAACAGCATAAAACATTACATAAATAAGGCACTCAAATGCATCTTTCCTCTTGGGGGAGGAGGAGTAAACACACACTTAACAAGTGTTAATCATCTCAATTAACAGGGGAGTACTCATCAGTTAATACCTCATCAAGTTATAAAGGCCTATTCAGGGTGAGCTGGTACCCAAAAAATCAAACACTCTAAGCTGTAACTAGGTGCCAGTGTAAAGAAATCTTCGTTCTCACTCCCTTTTGTCTACCTCTTGACCCAACAATATGTTGAGTCACACAAGTACACACAGAGATCCTCCTTTTGCTGCCAAAAGTGGCTTTTCCCAAGTTCAACAGTTGCAAAGTGCGGTATTCTTTGCCTGCTGAAGTTGATGCAATTTAATCACAAATGAAGTCATCTTACTTAAATTTGCTGACCTAAAGCATTGTTGGCTATGTCTCTTCATAAAGTCTACTACAGAATGCTTCATGGCCGTAATCAAAGGTGGACAGCTACTTTTGGTATCTGGGCCAAATTCCTTTGGTAGTAATTATGGCTGACTTCCAGTTTCTCATTTTAATATGATTATGAACATATTTTTCACTTCCTGTCATACAACTATTAATAAACTCTATCGTACTATGCAGCTGTCCAAATTCTCTGCAGTTGCAGATTATCTGCCTGGGAGGTGGTTTCTTTATGTAGGCAGAAGCTCTACGAAGCATGACGCTTCTCAGTGT